TTCAGGAAGCTTTTAACTCCCCTTCTTAAATGTGACTCAGAGTTTCCCTGGGAATTCCTGTGCTCAGCTCACAGGGGTGCAGCTCAACCCAAGCAGGATTAGTGACTTTGGGTTACTCTTTCTTGTCCAAACTGGAGCATTCAGAAATGTACATTTGTTACACTTCATACCTTGGTAAAACCGAAGAGCGTGTTCTGGAGTAGAGATACATCAAAAGGGTTGTATGTTTTCTGGTGAAGCTTTTGTTTTACCTCATTTTTTTTTTTTCCTTCTTTATTCTCCAGATGATGCATACTTACTACAGGGGCTTAATATTGAGGAACTTTATCCAGAGACATCTAGTTTCATTACATATGATGGGTCAATGACAATTCCACCCTGCTATGAAACAGCAAGCTGGATAATAATGAACAAACCTGTCTACATAACAAGGATGCAGGTAAAATAATTTAAAAGTTATTCAATCTAGTATTCGTACAAAAAAGTATCTTAAACATATTTGTATCGCTTTACATTAAAAATTAGATTCAACCTTTTGCTGTGGGGATCTCTGCATGCATTTTATATGGTTTGCAAAAGCAATGAAGAAGGGTTTTTTTTGTTTTTTCAAAAAGGAAATAATAACTGTTTAGAGCTCCATCAGTATCTTTGATGTGGGCCCTACTGAGGGGTTGAATCAAGTGGTTTCCAGCAGTCTGTTCCAAACTCAGTTATTCTGTGATGCTGTGAATAGTTATTTGGGGATTCTAGAACAAGTATAGAAGTGTTGTACTAAAATAACTGAGGTTATTGTTTACAATAGAGGCCATTCTTAGGTCAGAATAAATTTGTGTTGATAGCACATTAATAGGACAGAGATACAATATCTCCTTGAATAAAAATCAGCTAATGCCTTCTGATATGGAAAAAAATGACAGGATAGGTACAGCAAATACCTTCAGAAAAATCAGACTGATATGTTGAAGGCCCTATCAGAGACAAGCTGGATAAATTTTACAAGAGAAAATAAATTTCACAGTCAAAACCACACCGTTGAGGAAACACCAGGGGAAAAGTCTCAGACTACATTTCTGTACGACTTGCTTACAATCCAAGGCCTGACATCAGAAAACAGCAAGTTTAACACCAATCACAGTCTTCTCCAGAGTTTCCATCAGTGAGTTGCCTGCAGAGCTGTGAGCTGAACTAAAACCCACTGTCTTGCATAGCAGAACCCCAAAGGAATACTCAAACCACCATCTGCCTGCCCCAAGCATGCAGCAGAAGCAATCTGGCCTGAGAAATGAAATGAGGAACGATAAACCAACCCTAAATATCACTTTGGGATTTAAAATCATATTAACATTGTAAATAAGATGACTTTAAAAAGCCTAGGATGTTTTATTTTTGTGATATTCCTTCTGTCCAGTTTTGTCTGGATGCAGAGAAAGCACTTTGTTTCTTTTCTAAATGGGTAATTTGGGAGAAGGACACAGCTGAGCACAGGCAAACATGCTGAACATTCTGTACTTTTCAAACACAGGACCTGAATATTTTCCTACAAGCAACATTTTTAGTTGCAACACCAGTGTACAAAACACGGATTGGAATATTTCTGGAGTCTGTGCTACTACCTATGGGTTATAATCTCATGATACTTACTCCTTGTCGTGCTTTAATGGTTAGTTACATCCTCCATTATTAGTGCTGCAAATTGATTTCGTGGAATACTTACTAATTACATTGTGTACTCAGACTGGAAAAGCAATGCACAGCTCCAGTTTTCCCTGGAAGCTGTTAAGGATTTTCAGTGTATAAAAACCCAGCTCCTGGATTTCTCCACTGAAGCATTAAATGCCATAAACAAACCTCTTAAAATTGTATGCTGACACAGAAAATATTGTCTTTTTATGACTTCAAACCAAAATATTTTGGGCATTTCTCATTTACAGATTGCAGGCTTTTTTAACCTCTCTGGTTTGGGTTGACTTTAATTTGCCTTTAGCACAGTTGCACAGTCACCATAAGAACCACTGCTGGATGCACTGCATGACTAATTCCCTCTGATCTGTAAAACCATCCCAAAACAAGGCCAGAGTCGGCTGTAAGAACAATAATTGTCACAGCACAGACAATATCATGACAGACCTGTCAAGAGACAGAGGATCTCAGTTTTTAACATCATTAATTTCGTGACTCCAGCAGCAGGACTGTCAGTTTTCCTTCCATCCTGACTGCCCCTACCTGGTTCTGGAGTAACATCAACCAAAACCGTGGCTGCTCGACTGAAAGCTACACTAATAGCTACAAAACTTGGGAAATCAGCTCTTGTCACTCATAAAGTTGGTTTTCCCTGCTGCCATCCAGTACCGTGGACTCCATTTGTTTCCTGCTCAGACAGGGACACCTCATACCATTTTCCTTTGCTCCACACAAAACTAGTTACTTTTGTTTAAAAAGGGGCTCAGAAACAGAGGACCACAGAAGGAACAGTTTTAACTCTTTCAAACCCACCTCTGGGTACAAACCTCTGAAATTCTGTTTTGCTTTCATTTATTAATCATTCTATTTAATAGTGTTTTGTGTTGGTTTTTTTTACTTTCAGGAAAGACCAGAACTAACCCCCCCACCCCTTGCTTTGTATTTTGTACAGATGCATTCTTTACGACTGCTAAGCCAGAATCAGCCATCACAGATATTTCTGAGCATGAGCGACAATTTCAGACCAGTCCAGCCTCTCAACAACCGATGTATCCGAACTAATATCAACTTTAGTTTACAGGGGAAAGATTGTCCAAACAATAGAGCACAGAAACTACAGTATAGAGGTATGTTCTGCCTCCAGAATAACCCTTTCAGTGCCAAGACCAAGCACATAAAGCACACAAATAAAACCACTTAAAACTCCAGATCTGAGGGAATGATGGTATCAGTCAAACATTACATATTGGAAATAGATGAGGAAACTTGCCCAGAAACAGGCAGGAAACATGACAAAGAAAAAAAGCCTGGGATATCTAATGTGTTTTTAAAAGCAAATAGGACAGGCCTTCACTTTTCTTGCCTCATTTTAAAATCTTCTCACCTTACAAAGTGCATTTTGCTCCATTTTTTCCACCCACAGAGGGGGATGAGCTTGTCTTGCTGACAACTGATCTCAAAAAAAAAAAAAAAAAATTAATTTCATTTGAAAGGTGCGGCACTATAGCAAGCACTCAGACGCAGAAGTGTGGTGTTACACAATGGATATTAAACCATGAACCAACTCGGTCACCTGCGGGAAGAGCCTGACAGTGCCACAGCTGCAGCTCACAACTGGGCTTTAGTGTGTCTCAGGCACCTTTCAGCCTGTGCACACAGCTGTGTTACCTGCAATAACGGTGTAAAAGTGCCTTCTTATCAGTAATATTATGGTTATGAAAGAGTAGTGAAGGTTGGAAAAGAAAGCACATTTTCAGCAGCAGTGCAGTGACTTCAAAGAAACAGCCATTCAGACTTAATTCTTCTCCAGAAAGAGGAGGAAACTGAACCTCCTGGGTTTTTTTTCAGCCATATTAAGTGCCTAATACCTGGAGTTTGTTGAAGCCTAATGGTTTTTGTTTCTCTTTCAGTAAATGAGTGGCTCCTCAAGTAAGCAAGGCAGAGCAGGCAGAACCCATGACGACAGTGGAATGCTACTGCTGGGATCTGACATCATCTGGAATGCACCCAACCTCACTCCCTGGGTTCACAACAGCACGTGCTGTGGGAAAAGAGCTGCCATGCTGGAAACTCAACTCAAAATTCATTCATATGATCGGTGGAAATTTAAAAAAAAAAAAAAAAAAAAAAAAAAAAAAAAAAAAAAAAAAAAAAAAAA